CCCACGCCTTTAATAAAATACCAAAGAAAATTAATATTATACCCGGTTTGAAAGTTTAGGATTTTTGATCTGGCAACGCTGTAGCAACGTACATCTGTATGATGATGGTGATAACTCTGTCGTGAGTATTGGTGAACCAAGCTGTTGAGAAATAAATGAAATTTAATTTTAAGACATCTGTTATATCATCAACGATTAGCGCAGCTTGTGCTACGTCTTAGCGAAAGATATTAATGGAAGTGCAATGAGGATCAAAATCTAGGAGATCTTAGTTCAGCAGTTGCGATCACCACAAACTCTTCCCGCAGGTGATGGATATAGTCTCATTAGAAGGTAGGAAGTTACGGTTACGTCCCATAGCAGGAACTACCAGTGCAGTAGAGGGAGCTCGAGTCATTGATATTAAGCCTTACCACGCTCTTGATGCTGTTCTCTAGTCTCGACTGATGCTGTTTGTGGTTCTTGTTTGAAAAGTAAATCAACCGCGGGTATTCGGCATCTGTAATGCCAATTCCAAACTAGAGAAAAAACTGTGTCGGTTATTTCGAAAGCCGATGAAATTCGTATGTCTCATTTTGAGGCACTCCGACGTGTGAAGGGAATAAAAAGAACAATGGTCGAGTATTAAAGTAAGTGGGAAGAAGGACCCAACAGGGAACTCAAAGAGCCCTCGCACAGACCCCGCGCAGTTTTTGTGCCGCCATCGGTGATGTGACGTACTTACATTGCCGCCCGCAACCTATTCGATTATGCTACTCCAGTTGATCTCTTCGTTGCTCTTCTCATCCACAGGTTTAACCTCTCGTACACTTGTCTATCTTACGTTGTCAATTTAATAGAGCTAGAGCTGAGATCCCTTAGTTGAGCAATCTACACAATGGCAAGTCAAAAGATGTCACGTAAAAAACCGTGAACGTATGACGTGACGTGATGAAACAGTGTTCGTGGAACGATAGCACAGACTATATTACAGCGTCGATGGCACTCCTCACCCTTTGTTTCGTCGTGGTGCATGCTATCCTCACTGGTGCGAAGGGATTGCCTAACGGTACCTATTCGTCAGATACTGCAGTAGTCCTCTTCTTTGAGGTTTCTGTCTATCTTGAAAGCTTTACTCAAGGCACTTTCGACTTGTCTGGTATTCCGGATCCCGAATATGGTCATTTGCTTGATGTTAGAGAGGTGAAATTCAAGTTCAACGGCACCCACCTAATCCCCAATCCTCATGATACGGATATGAACGAGTTCTTCCGAAAGTATAAACTACCCTCTCAGCAATGGTCTGCCCTTCAATATGATGAGTCAGCTGATGCGATACATGTCAACTGGAATGGTACAACCTTTGTTTGTGAGAAAGACTCCTCCGAAGATGAAAAAAGAGAGCTGGCCCAAGACGATACAGCCAATGGTGAACGGAGGCTCGGAGAGAGGTATGGTGTGGATGCTATGTTTAACATCTCTCGCCCAGAAGGCAATAGATCTTACTGGATCTATTACCCCGTCAACATCACGGCTCGCTTCATCCTTCTGAATCTTCATTGTATGGGCTGCACATGCGAGTCCTGGAAGTATGGAAGCCGTCTGATCGACTATGCTCTCGAGTACAGGTTCATAATGTTCACTCCTTGTGGAGTGGAAAATGCATTGTATATGAAGAGCTGGAACGCAGGTTCTTG